TGTGGAGGGGACACAGGTTAGAGGGTATGTGGCCTGGTTGCCAGGAGGTGGATCCCAGGTGTGGAAGGGTGGGCAGTAGAGGCAAGGAGTCAAAGAGATTGTCTGTAGGGGAAGGTAAGCAGTTGGGCCAGCTCTGGTGTCATCTGTCTGGAGGGAGCTCCATTGTCGCCCTGTCCCCCTGGGAGCCCTCAGCTTCCCTGCCCCCCTGAGAGCATGGCATGAGGCAAAACGAAGGCCCCTGGGGATAGTGGGAACTTGCGTGATTATATGGATAGTCCTGCCTTCTCCATGCGACTGATTTCCTCTGAAAGGCCTCCCTTTTTACTAAGAACGTTGAGATTGATTCTTTTTCTTAAAATTGCTTTTAGACAAATTGGCCAGGGATTCTTAAATTGCTCAAAGTGGCAAAATGAAAGATGACTCAAAGAATTCAAACACTCAAAGCCATTCTGTATATGAGGTGTGATAACTGTAACATAATTTTTAGGCAAATGGGCCGTTAGGTGGGATTGGGTCACATGGATTTAGGTCAGGTCTGGAAGGAGCAGGGCCTGAACACTCTGTCCCCCCAGCAGCTCCTGGAGGCAGCCTTCTCCTCCTCCAGTGAGTTTGGCTTAGTGTTGGAGTGCGGCTTTGCTGAATATGGACCTGGGTTCAAATATCTGCTCCACCACTCACCATCTTTGCTGGCTGTGTGACCTGAGGCAGGTCACCTGGCCTCTTTGAACTTTAATTTCCTAATTTGAAAAATGGGGATGATAATAATATGTACCTTGCAAGACAGTTGTGAAGCTTAAGTGAGATAAGTAACTTGCAGATAGTAGGTGCACAATCAATGGGACCATCATTGGGTAACATGAGCATCGACTGGGGAGGCTACTCTGCCTACTGCTGTCAAGTAAAAGACCTCTTCCCTATTCCCCATGCATTTCAAAGCCAAATAGCCCAGATTTGGGGTAGGTGGCTATTTTGGACCACAGGGTTAGTTTGGGCAGACTTCCCACAGGAGGGGAGTTTGAGGCCAGGTAAGGAAAATGGGAAGAGATATGAAGGGGAAAAGGGGGTCCAAGTTGTGGGGGCTCATGGAGGGATGGAGTGAAGGCTCCGGGCAGACTCTGTGTCTGTGTGACTGCATTTGTGAGTGTGCTGGGGCCCGGGCAGGCCCAGTGGGGTGGGGCCAAGCGGCTCAGAGCCCTGCCTGTCCTGGTCCCCAGGACTGCGCCCGGGGCACGGCCAACTGCCTGGTGTTCAGCTGCCCTCTCTACAGCTTTGACCGTGCGGCTGTGCTGCATGTCTGGGGCCGCCTCTGGAACAGTACCTTCCTGGAGGTGAGAGCACTGGGGCACTGGGCTGGGCATTCTCCTCCCCAACTGTCCCTCCGGACGCACTTCTCCTACCTCCTCCCTGTGTAGGTGCAGCACGCACTTAACCCAAGACAGGCAGAAACACCTCTGTGTTGGGCACCATTCCATTCGCAGTGTCAGGAGCTGGGGGGAGGGAGGGAGCAGGGGGCATTTAGGAGGAGGGTCTCCTTCCTTCCTCCTTTAGGAGTACTCAGCTGTGAAGTCCCTGGAAGTGATCATCCGAGCCAACATCACCGTGAAATCCTCCGTCAAGAACTTGCTGCTCAGAGATGCCTCGGCGGTGGTGAGCTGCAGGGCCGGGGATGGGAGGCGGGGGAGCTCTTCTCTCCTGCTGCTCCAGCCCTTGACCCCCAACCCTCACTCCACAGACCTCAGTGATGGTGTACTTGGACCCGGCGGCTGTGGTGACAGAAGGAGTCCCCTGGTGGGTCATCCTCCTGGCTATACTGGCCGGGCTACTGGTGCTGGCACTGCTGGTGCTGCTCATGTGGAAGGTGAGCCTTTGGGAGGGTGGGGCCGGGGGGGGCTGGGCTTCCCTGGCAGGCAGGTGGCCTTTCCTACTGTGGTTCTATCACCCACCCACTCACCCATTTATTCAGTAAATCTGCACTGAGCACTTAGCCTGCATGTACCAGGGACTCCATCAGGCCCCAGGCGTGGCAGAGATGAGTCAGATGCAGATCTTGTCCACAGGGATTTGATAGTCCTGTAGGAGAGGTGAGCCTTGTAGTCAAGGACAAGACAGAAGGCTCTGAGTCAAGAAAGTGCAGCTGGAGTTACGAGGAGGGAAAGCTTGAGAGCAGGTGGCCCTGGGAAGGAAACTGTCCAAGAAGGCCAGCAACGTGGAGGACTACCTCCAGGGAACTGCCTGCAGGACTGAACTCGGAACCTCCACCTACCAGGCTCTGCATGGAATCATTCTCGTACACACAGTGTAAACAGAATCACGTTCGCATCTGGGGCTCCATGTAAAAGCACACACATGCACGTGTCAGTAGAGGCCATCACATCCATCATCAGAGGTCATACCCTGAGCCACACGCCACAGCCGGGCCATGTGGAACCATGCACATCCTTGGGGCTCTATGGAGAACTGCCCCCCCAACCCTGGACTGATCACAGACAAGCACACCCCTTGCCAGATGTGAGTCATCAGTGGACCAGGCCTCTGGAGCAGCATCCAAACTGTTGGGAACCTGGCCAGTCTTAAGTAGATTGATGCCTTTGTGAAACTGGCTCCAGGGTCCCTGCTCCCTGCTCCCATGGAAGGGGGACAGAGCAGAGATAAAGGCCTCCATCCTTCCTCAATCTTCCCATCCTCCACCCTCTTTTGCTCCCCTCCTCCCTCGACATCCCAGTGTGGCTTCTTCCGTCGGAGCAGCCAGAGTTCGTCTTTCCCCACCAACTATTGCCGGGCCCGTCTGGCCGTGCAACCCTCGGCCATGGAAGTTGGGGGTCCAGGGACTGTGGGGTAATTGTTGCGTGTGTGCATGTGTGTGCGTGCGTGTATGCAAATTTGTGTGTGCGTATGTGGGTATGTATGTGTGTGAATGTCAGTAGAGCTCTCAGCATTCAGGGGACCAGAATGTGCAAGGAAGAAATGAGATTGCATGAGGGTCGTGTAAGTCTTAGGCACTGGCGTGGAGGTTGCTATAAGGGTGAGTATACACAGCCTGGGGCGTGCACAGAGGGTTGGGTGAGCTCATGGAGTATGAGCATGTGGACGTGCAGGGAGGTGCCGTGCATGTCTTTTCTATGGGCATGAGCGTGCAGAGACAAATGTGCAAGGAGATGCCATGCAGTCTGAGCATGTAGGAGTCTCGGACAGTCCTGAGTGTGAGTGTGCAAGGGGCACATTTCCACCTTGGTATGGAAGGGCCAGCATGCTCTTGAGTTAAGGAGAGACTAGGCCGCCATATTCATGGATGAGAGGACCCTGCCCCGAGAGGGATGCTGTCCAGTGTACACAGAATATACAGGGTGTATGCGTATGGGGCTTGAGAGGAATCATTCGGAGTATGCCGGGGTCTAGGAAGCCATATTTTTCCTCAGATCTCGTTTGTGTTCTGGGGGATGCTATTGGGTCTCTTAAAAAGCTTGAGTGGGTGGAAACCTTTGAGATCAGTGGTTTTGATGTTCCACCTTCAACCCCCTCTTCCAGGTGCCAAGGGAGATGTCCCTTGGTCCTGCACCTTGGGCCCCCTCCTGGTCTTTCTCTTGCTGTGAATGAGAACCTGGGGACCCAGCACTGATGGTGGCACCTGTGGGGCTGCTTACTGCACTAGCTGCTCTCCAACCCATCTCCTTTCTGCTGCAGTTGGTTCTTTCTGTCCCAGGGATGGGGGAGGCAAGGAGCTTTGCTGTGCTGGGCATCTGCTCCAGGGACCTCAGCCCTGCAGGCTCCTGATGTCTGGCCTGGTGTCTTTGCAGGTGGGATTCTTCAAGCGGGCGCGATACCCAGAGGCCACCGTGCCCCAGTACCATGCGGTGAAGATCCCTCGGGAAGACCGACAGCAGTTCAAGGAGGAGAAGACGGGCACCATCCTGAGGAACAACTGGGGCAGCCCCCGGCGGGAGAGCCCCGATGCACATCCCATCCTGGCTGCTGATGGGCACCCTGAACTGGGCTCTGATGGGCATCCTGTGCCAGGCACCGCCTAGCTTCCTCTGTCCCAGCCTGGCTGGGGGTTGCCTCCACCCCTTCCCCAGAGATGGCTCCTTGGGATGAAGAGGGTAGAGTGAGTTTCTGGTGTCCCATTAGGATTTGGCAGGATCTGTTTCCTCGGGCGTAGACCTCTCCCCCCATGAGGAGAACCCCCAAACTTCCCCTTAGAATGCTGTGAGATGAGGGGGGTAAATCAGGGATGGGGTCGGGGGGTAGGGTGAGCAGGACAGCAATGTCCTGATGCAAGGGCGGGGAGAAGGGACCCGTATCCCTCCCTCTCCTATTCACCCAGTATACCCGGACCCCAAGGACCCATCTCCCTGAAAGTGCCTTAGCCCAGAGGGTTGGGGAGCAGGCTGCATTGCTGACTCAGGGGCTCTTCCCTCTCTAGTGTCGCCTCTCCTCTGACCTTAGTTTGCTGCATCAATCTAGTGGATTTTGTCTATTTATTAAAAAGTATTTGGGGACAAAACCTCTGACTTCTTTGCTGAGTCCTGCTCCTTCATTCCCGGGGTCTCCAGGAGAGGCCTGATTCTCTCTGCACCCCCCCAGCTCAGGACAAAAGTGGGAGTGGGAGGGAGGGCAGGGGCCTGGCAGGGATGCGTGTATCATGACTTCTGTGACCAGTTCCTTGAGGCGTGTGATGTGGTCTCAGAAGGAGGGGAGGGGAAACTTTACCATGGGAACAAGGGAAAGGAATGGAGAGCTGTCCTGGGGTTGGGTGGGCAAAAATTGGGAGACCCAGTCCGGGAATTTGCAGTTAAGGATATGACAGAGTGTAACTGTTTCCTCCCTGTGGTTAGGGTAGGAATAGAGCTTTTTCATTGTGGAAGGAAGGGTTGAAATTAGAGAGTCCCCCAGAGAGAGGTGTGGGAAGGAGGAGGGGGTAATGGCTTCTCTTTGCCTGGATCCCTCTCAGTAGAAAGTAGATGTGGCCAGTAGGTGGGATTGTCCTGACTGGAGGCAGGACCTGGAGAAGGGTTATTTCACGGCCTTTCCCATGATGTGGGGCCCAACAGGTAACCACTTGATGGGAGGCGGGTGTTGTTCCATTTGGAGTTCAGAGAACTGGGCATGCTCAAGGTCTTTCCAGGTCTCTCTGGTGAGGCAGCAGCCATCCCCGATGTGTTTCCAGGTGGGCTCTAAAACTTGCTGCCACAGGAAGGCCCAGCTTCCCCGCGGCTCAGCCACATGCTCCAAGAAAAAGAACACTCCTCCCTGAGAGAGAGGAGAGAGTTAGTGTCACTTATCTGCTCTATTCCACAACCTTCCTTTAACCTCACCTCCACGCGCTGACCAAGTCTGCTCAAACCTCTTGGTGAAGTGGGAGTTGCCAATCTGCCAGTTCATGAAGCAAACCATCCTGCTCCTGACTTTTTCTGCAGCCTCCCTCGGAGGGCTCCTACCCTCCCACTCAAAGCGTGTGTGAAGAAGCTCCTGTGAGCGAGTGGGGACGACTGGTGAGAGATCTTTAAGGATGGCCAGAAGGACATCATAGCTGAGGGCGGACGGATGTGGGGATGGAGAAACAGGAGAGGATCTCGCTGTAGACGGAGATGCTTGCCCTGAGCTCCCTCCTGAGGCCCAGCAGACACATACATCCCGGACGTCTCAGCCAACATCTCCGCCAACTTCCCAGGGAAGCCTCGCACCCAACTCCTGACTGATGCAGGGGTGCCTCCGGCTCTCTTCACTCTTCCCTCCCTGGGTGATCTCATGCACCCCTAGGCTCAGAATTTACCCGCTACAAGCTGATGACTTCCAAATCTGTATCTCCAAGCTGTGTCTTTTTCTGACTTTCAGATCTGGACTTCCAACTGCCTCGACAGCTTCTCTTCTGGCTGTCTCAGTGGCATCTCAGACCCAACAAGTCCAACACAGGGTTCCTCCCATCTCAGCGACTGGCACGTTCCTCTACCCTCCCCCACTCCCACCACCGGTTGCTCGTGCCAGAAACCTGGAAACCAATCCTAAACTCCTTTCTCTCCACGCCCAGTTCAAATCTTACAGATTCTACTTCCACTAGTATCTCTACCCAGAACACTCCTGTTTTCCTCACTCCCTCCACGATCTGCTTCATCCCCCGATCTCAATTTAAACATCACTTCCGTGGGTTTGCTCCTCCCCGCCCCCTCCACTGTGTTAGGTGTCTCTCCTGTGTGCTTCCACAGCACCCCATCCAGCCCCACCGAGGCCCTGGTCACCGGCAGGTGGGGGTGGGTGAGTGTCTCATGTGCTAGTGCACCCACCCCGTGCTGGGTGTCCTGGACGCTGGGGGGGGCTGATGCCGCCTTTCCCTGTCCCACGCCCCTGCCTTTCCCATTCTGCTCACCGGCCTCAGCACTCTCTGGACCTCCTGCAGGACCCTCCTCGGGCTCTCCACAGAGCACAGCACCAGGGTGCTGACCACCACATCCATGGAGCTGTCAGCCAGCTGCTTCATGTCCTCTCCGGAAGCCACCACAAACTGTTCATATTGGAGATGTCTATTCTCAGCCATACTCTTGGTCAGGAACTTCTCAAAATGGGGGTTTGGGTCTAGGCAGGTGATCCTGCAGCCAGCTGGGTAGAACTCAAAGTTGGCACCAGTGCCGCAGCCCAGCTCCAGCAGGGCCACCTTCCCTGAGGCGCCCGTAAGTCCCCTTATCTGGCCAAAGAGCTCTCGTTTCTTGCTCGCCATCATGCGGTTGGTCTTGGCAGTCAGCACGACCATCAGGTAGGGGAAGTAGCTTTTGCACAGGGGCTGCCAGTAGCCCAGCAGAGCCATCAGGTGCAGGGGCAGGGTGAGGAGCAGCACCAGCAGCTGCAGGAGTCGGACCAGGGCGTCCATGGCAGACCGGCTCTGAGAGGCGCTTCCGTTGGGGCACTGGCCTTTTCTCTCTGCCCAGCCCTTGCAGACACAAGTCTCTCCTCCCCCTGGGATAGGACTTTGTTCCCTGTCTCCTACTTGGCAATTTCCTCTTCGTCAGGTCGTAGTGTGTGTATAGAATCCTCCAGAGGGTACAGGTCCCACAGCCCCACAAGGCTCTTTAACAAATTTTACGTGGGGCAAAGGAAGAGGTGGTGCCCGTGTGTCCTGAGTTTTGGGCGCTCTGCCCAGTTGAGGACAGTGGGGAATGCTGATCATCTCAGAGAGGAGCGGGGAGGGGGAAGGGGCGTATGTCTCCAATCATAGCTTCATGGGGGCCAAACGCTGGGCAGAGCTGACTCAAGGGGCATGTCTTGGCCTCAATCTGTCCTCAGGTTCTGCTCAGGTTCTGTGAGCTGAAATTCTGTTTGGGTTCCCCTGGCACACCCCCAGTGCTTTGTAAACTGTAAAATGCCTTTGCCCCAGATGGAAGCCAAACAGAGCATTCAGGGTGCGACCCGATTGGTCAGAAGAGGAGGGAGGTTGCTGGCCAAAAGAAAGGCATTTTCTCAACTGACTGGTGTTTATTGTCAAATCCAAGGCTTTAGAGCCCCAGAAATAGAAGAAAAGAAGGGCGAAAAAGGCAGAGTAGAGAAGAGTCAGGAGACCCGGGTTCTAGAGTTAGTTCTGCCATTAACTTGTTGTGTTCCTCTGGGCAAGTCTTTTTACTCTCTGGGCTCCAGTTTCTTATCTGTAAAATGGGGAGATGAGGAGAGACTGGATGGGCCTTAGACAGTTTCTAAGGTCTCCTCCTGCTCCCACATTTGTGTGATCTAAGGAGAGTGGGGTAAGAAAGGGAGTAGGAGACCCTAGGCATCCTCACAGCCCAGGGCGGTACCCCTGAGGCTTTGGGACCAGGCCAGAGACTGCCACTGAGGCAGGGAAGTCTCAGAGACCAGACTTTGGGGTCACAAGCATCTTAACAGAAAGTCCCCAAATTATTAAGCGGTAGCTTCTCTTTTGGCTGAAACTTCCCTCAGAGTCTTGGGGGAAGCTCCTCATTCACAGTCCCGAAGGCTACCCATCAACTGCCTAGTGGCCAAAGGAAATTTTATTTAGAGAAAAGAAGATCAACAACCTGGCATTGTACAAGAGGAAAATTAACGATAGTCTAAAATCTCATGAGGAGCCAGACAATTCCTGAGTCAGCTGGGACGAGCTACTTTAGGAAAATGTCTTCTCCTATGCAGAGCTTCCAGAGCTGGGGTGGAGAGAGGTTTTGCGACCCCACAGTTAGACACATTCTTCTCTGGGCTTTGCTTCTGCTGTGCCCATAAATAGGCAGCGATTCTCCCCGTAGTAGAGGTGGGAGCTCTTGTCTCCAGGAGGTCACAGACATGTGAACGAAGATTTGCAGTCCCACAAGAAAGCAGTGGAGATCGAAGCGTGTTCAGAACGCGATGTGGGCACAGAGCGACTTTCTGGAGTAGTGATGAGAGACGGGAGTAGCCAAGCCAACTGGGGGACAAAAGAGGCACTTCAGAGTAGGGACAGGAAAGGAAGGGTGCTCACTGCAGGGCAAAAACCAGGTGTACGGGACAGACACCGCCTGCACCTTTCTGGAAGGAGTGAGCAGTTTAGTTTCGTGGAGAATGGGGTGTGCTGGAGAAGTGGTGGGAAGTGGGGTCAAGAGTAGTCGCTCCTTAGAGAAGGTTTCTTTTTGTTTTTAAAACAATCATTAGACGATTTTTTGGAAAAGGTAATACATTCAAATCGTACAAAATTTAAAAGATACAAAAGGGATTACAGGGAAAATTCTCACTTCCACTGCAGTCTCCCAACCACTCAGATCCTCTCTCTGGAGGCACTAAATATTACATCATGACTTTCTTGTGAATCCTTCTGCAGGTGGAGATGATCTGTGAATGAGCAGATAACATGCACGCCACACATTTAGAGGCATGTACATATATATGTGTACATATTCCCCTTTCTTTACACAAGTGGTAGTACACACTCATTGTACACACTCTTCTAGACCTTGCTTTATTGGGTTTAGCAGAAACTGCCAAAGAGTTTTCCAAAAAAAACACTGCTAAAGCGGCTATCCCAATTTATACTTCTACCAGCAATATTTGGTATTATGTGTCTTTTATTTATTTATTCATTTATTCATATTATTATCGACTCACAGATTTCCTATTTTATTCAGTGAGTGGTAACCTAATACATTATTTATTTATTTACATATTTATTGAGCTATAATTATGTATAAGAATGTATCCATATTTACAGTGTACAACTCAATGAGTTTTGACATATGTATACTCTTGTGAAACCATCACCACAATCAAGATAACGAACTGTCTATCAACCATGAAATTTCCTTGTGCCTGTTTGTAATACATTCTTCCCTCTTCCATCTTCATCCTCAGGTAACCACTGGTCTGCTCTCTGTCACTATAGGTTAGTTTGCATTTTCTAGAACTTTATATAAATGGAATCCTACAGTATGTACTCTTTTTGTCTGGCTTATTTCACTCAGCATGATTATTTGAAGATTCATCCACATTGTTGCATGTATCAATAGTTCATTTTATTGCTGAGTAGTATTCCATGTTATGGAAATACAGCAATTATTTATTCATTCAGCTGTTGATGGACATTTGGGTGGTTTCCAGTTTTTGTCTATTACAAATAAAGCTGCTATGAATTTATGTACATGTTTTTGTGTGGACATATGCTTTCATTTCCCTTGGGTAAATACCTGGGTGTGGAATGGCTATTTATTTATTTATTTAAAATGTGTAATTATTCTTTTATTTTGGCAGTGCCATTTACTTTTTTCTATTGTGGTAAAACACACATAACATAAAACTTACCGTCTTAAACATTTTTAAGTGTACACTTCAGCAGTATTAAATACATTCACATTGTTGTGCAGTCATCACCATCATCCATCCCCATAACTGTTTTCATCTTGTAAATCTGAATCTCTATATCTATTAAACAATAACTCCCCATTCTCCCCTCACCTCTTGGCAACCACTATTATACTTTCTGTCTTTATGATTTTGACTACTCTAAGTACTTCATATAAATGGAAAGTACAGTATTTGTCTCTTTGTGACTGGCTTATTTCACTTTAGCATAATGCCCTTGAAATTCATCCAGGTTGTAACATAATGAAGAATTTGTTCCTTATTAAAGCTGAATAATATTTCACTACGTATATACCACATTTTCTTATCCATTCATCCGTCAGTGGACACTTGGGTCGTTTCCACGTTTTAGCTACTGTGAATAATGCTGCTATGAACATGGGTGTACAAATATCTCTTTGAGACCGCGATTTTAATTATTTTGGGTATATACCCAGAAGTGGAATTGCTGGATCATATGGTAATTCTATTTTTACTATTTTGAGGATTCACCATACTGTTTTCCACAGGGCTGTACCATTTTACATTCTCGCCAACAGTGCACAAGGATTCCAGTTTCTCCACATCCTCGCCAATGCTTGTTTTCTGTTTTCTTGATGGCAACCATCCTAATGGATGTGAGGTGATATCTCGTTGTAGTTTTTTTTTTTAAATTATTTTATTGAGGTCATATTGGCTTATAAGGTTGTGTAAATTTCAGGTGTATGTTGTTATATTTCAGTTTCTATATAGACTGCATCGTGTTCACCACCAATAGTCTAGTTGTTATCCGTCACCATGCTTATGTGCCCCTTATTCCTTTCACCCTCCCCCCACCCTTCTCTTCTGGTAACCACTCATCTGTTCTCTTTATCGATGTGTTTGAACAAGCTTTCTGCTCCATTCTCCTTCTCTTCTCCCTCTGGAATACCTATAATCCTTATGTTGCATTTCCTAATTGAGTTGGATATTCCTTGGAGAATTTCTTCATTTCTTTTTAGTCGTAGTTTTCTCTCCTCCTCCATCTGAAGCATTTCTATACTTATGTCCTTCAGTCTGCTGATTCTCTCCTCCATGATATCAGCTCTGTTATTCAGGGAGTCCAGATTTTTCTTTATCTCATCTGTTGTGTTTTTCATCCCAACATTTCTGATTGGTTTTTCTTTATAGTTTCAATCTCTTTTGTGAAGAAGTTCCTGATTTCATTGAAATATTTGTATTTTTTGTAACTTGAGTTTTTTTTATGATAGCTATTTTGAATTCTTTGTTATTTAGATTATAAATTTCTGTGCCTTCAGGATTGATTTCTGGGTGCTTGTAATTTTCCTTCTGGTCTGGAGAATTAATATATTTTTTCATATTGTTTGGTGGCATGGATTTGTACCTCTGCATAGTGATAGTATCTGGTCACAGCTTCCACCTGCTGCCACTGGGTGGGGGTCAAGAGCTGTGTATTCTGAGGCAACCATGACCCCAGTTCGTTAACTCACAGCTCCTGCTTTTCTTTTTACTTTTCTTTTTTTTTGTGTGTGAGGAAGATCAGCCCCGAGCTAACATCTGTCGCCAATCCTCCTCTTTTTGCTGAGGAAGATTGGCCCTGGGTGGACATCCATGCCCATCTTCCTCTACTTTATATGAGACACCTCCACAGCATGGCTTGACAAGCAGCGTGTTGGTGTGTGCCCGGGATCCAAACCCCGGGCTGCCACAGCAGAGTGCACGCACTTTAACCACTATGTCACTGGGCCGGCCCCTCAGCTGCTGCTTTTCTATCGTATGTACAGGCGCTCTGGCCAACCAGTTGAGCTGGAGTGCCAGGCAGGGGGAGGGGTGCTTTCTTTTGCCTGTGCGGTCCCGGGGGGTGTTTTTACTCTGCTCTCACTATCTGCTCTCCTGGGGTGCTGGCTTGATGAAGGAACCCCCGCAATAGCTTAGTCACCTCTTGTGGTGCTTTCCCATGGGCTGTGAGAGAACTTGGAGAGCAAAGGTGTTCCCACAGAGTGTTGCCCCTCCCCCCTTTCCTCTCAGAGCCGCGTGTGATTGTGAACCCTGGATTGCTACCATTGGAGGAGGGAGAGGAGATCCCCTTACCTCCTTCCACTTCCTCCGGGGTTCCAGCACCTCCACCTTCAGACATATGGCTGCGTGGGTCTCTCAGACGTCTTTTGTGTTGTGTAAATGTCCTCTGTTGGTATATGAATGTCCTTCTTGTTGTATCTTAGCAGGGAGAGTCTAAGGAAAGAGCTCACTCTGCTATGATGCTGACATCTTTATCTATGTGTGTGT